AGTTTAAGTTCAGGGTTTGGTTCTTTAATTGAGTGTCAACAATAAAAGTCATATTACAACTTTATAAGTGTGTGTGCTGACATCCAGTCACTGCTTGCACAAAAACTCAGTAACGCTGAACAAGTCGCCAGCTTGAGCTCATTAATTTTTGTCTATAAACAAATGAATGGAGAAATCTTGAATATTGATTCTGAGAAATGCCCAAGTTCCCAAAGGCAAACCAACCTTTTTACCGTTATAGAACATGTTGACTGATATAAATTCACTGTACTCAACACATTTCCGGAGGTCAACCTTTGGCATTAAGACAATTTTTTTGTCGAAATTTCACAAAGTTCAAAGTTCAAGTCGCACCCTAAATCCAACTGGAATTCCTCAAAACTTTTGCAACAAGTCATGTTCATTGCTTAATTGCGAACACAATGCCAATGCCAGCCACCAAAATTAGATTTTTCAAATTAAAATTCCCCATTTCAAATTTTGATGCTACGCCTTACCCTGACATCCTACCGCTTTACAGAGCTCACCCTCCGTGACGCGAGTGACACATGAGGCTCCTCCTTACATGCGAGGACTGAATACAGCGGCAAGCGGTGTTGGGACAAAACTCCCCCCTGCGTCTCCGCCAGAAACAGGCAAATGCCCGCTAAGCGCTAGTACAACTTCAGATCACCATGCTTCTTTCACAGGAACAAATTAAGTTGAAACGGTGCAGGTCAAAGTGAAACAGCGTGTTAATGGTGTTAATTTTTTGGTAAAAGCTCTTTTAGTTTAAACCTGATGGTTTATGAAGCTTCTTAGTTTTGTGGCAACAGTCCTGTAAATTGATACAAAACCTTATAATAAGCAATGTCACACATTTACCTTTTTCTAGACGAAACCACCATGGTATGATCGCCTAACGTTAAAAACATATGAGGTTGATCATGAGAGTGTGTTTAACATTGCGAGTTTATCAGCTAATGTTTCGCTGTAACTCGGTACTTGTTAACAGCTTGTGTTGTCCTGACTGGACACCACACAGCGTTCGAGCAACGGTCAGGTAGAGACCGGTCTCAACGTCAGCCACCGATGCAGACTCGCTGTTTTCATGGCCTTGATAGCGACACTTCCCCCTCGCACACCGCTCCCACACTGTTTGCGTTGTGGAACAGCCACGCTTAATGTGGCAGACCTCCGCTTGCCGTGCGAACGCACGCCGATACGGATGCGCAAACGCGCGAATGCGCAACGGCCTAGGGGGTAGTGTGTAGGGTTCAGGGTGAGGGGCGAGCGTTTGGATTGGGCCTCTGCTTCAGGGGCCGCTTTCATCTTCGTATCTTATTTTACTAGTTAAGCATTACATTTATTCGTGTGGTGATTTATGCATATTTTTTTTAAGTTTCTCAGTTTTAAACAATATTTTTGGTTTATTGTCTGATAGTTAAGCCTATGACATTGAACTATGATTCAAATCTTTTATCCCAGATATTATAAAGGGAGTGCCTGTGTTGTACGATAAATCTGCTGAGTCAAAAGTGTTTTGGACCCACGGACTGGATTAACTCTGGACTAAAAGTTAAACTAAACACTCAGGAGTCCTTTCCCTCACTGAGCCTCTCAGTCTGACAGGAGAGCTCTCCTCCTCCCTGGTTGTAGAACATGCTACTTCTTATATCGTTTAGAGCAGCTAGCACAGATGCTAATAACAACAGGCGCTGCGCTACCGGCTGCACCCTCTCCTCTCTCCTCTCCTCTCCGCGCTCGCTCGCACTTTGGCTGTGAGCTGCCGCGGGCCCCGGGGCCTGATAAGCCAACATCCCCCATTTCCATCACTTACAGCGGCCCATTCGTGCAGGGCCAAATTGAAACGTGGTAACCGCGGCCGTGGGCGGTGAAAAGGGTGTTACATTTACTTAATTATGAATATTGTTACATCAAGGCCGAAAATTAGGATGAGCGCCAACGGTCAAAAAAACATTTTTCCCTCCCAGAGCTACCAGCGCAGCGCCCCCTCAGATCTGGCGGTCGCCTATGCCAAAAACCGGCCCTGCTCTGTCTGTTACTTTAGATGAAAATAAGGAGCCATTCCCCACGCCTCTCCACGAGATATTTGGTTAAAAATAATCCAATGGTGCTCTAGGAGGAGATTCAGGTGATAAGGTGGGGGGGGGGGGTTACCTTGGTTGGTTATTGGCCAAACAATCGTTATGACATCATAAAGTGGCCAAAATCTAATCAGCTCATTTTCAGACAGGTTTTTATATAAATGGATCAAAAAGTGAGCAAATATTTTTTCCTGAAACTTTCAGAATCTCTTTACACAGAGGGGACACATGTTTATGTAGAAAAGACATGAAAAAGTGGATTTTGCGTAATAGGTGACCCTGACAAAAGTGGAAACAGGATATTATGTATCCTCTTTAAAAAGGGACTGTCGATTCCTCCTTTGAAGAGGCACTATGGTCAAGGCAGAACATATTGTATAATGCATTTCCTTTTGTGGTTTGATAAGTAACAACACTGTTCATTCATAATTTATTTGATCCTAGTCGGCCAGAAAAGAGAAGCGAAGAAAAACCATCTGCATGAATATATCTTTGGAAATAGTGAGAGTTATTTCATTTGTGGTAAGAGAGCAGCAGCAGCTATATTTATGAACAGCGTCTGTAATGAGTCTGCAGCTGTCAATTGTTCATAAACACGCAGATGGGAGTAAATTGTTTTAGTACATTAGATGGTGGGTGGAAGAACAGTGAGACTGGAGGCTCACACAAGCAGGGCGCGCTAAAGTAAGCCTTTAAACATTTCATTATGGGTGCATTCGTCACCCACATGCAGTATAAAAAGGTAGGTGGTTTATTGACTTTGTTCTGCTAGATTACAGAAGTATTTTCAGATCAACTTTCAGGTTGGAAAATATTAAAACGGTTTTGCAACAGCAGATAATTCCTTGCTTTCAGTTAAATAAAAAAAGCTATAATTCGTTCAGCTATATAAGAGCAGGATTTCTGTACATTTTCACCTGCTGCTGAATGAGTCAGCACTTTGGGGAGCAGAGGATGACTCACATGCGGAGTCTGACATTGCTGTGGGGGAGGACTTCCTGGAGCTGTGGGAGGAAACCGAACGTGCGCCGCTCGTTCTGTCCCGCGGAGGGTTCAGAGTGGAGCAGATGTCCAGGTACAGCTCCTGAGCCTGGAACACAGAGGGATGCTCAGTATCTGAATCTGACATACAGACTGACCTTTGAAAAGCTGCTGATTGTTCGTAGAAGGACCCATGTCTGTTACCTTCACTGAAGAGGGAGCGATTCCAGGTGGAGACTGCTCTTCAAAGCGAAACGCTCGCCTCCTTTCAGCACGCACTTCAGCATAACTGAAAAATAAAATCGAAAATGAGATTGTTTTACAAGTGTGCTGTATTTCAAATATATACAATGCTGTATTATGGCAATTTAGGGTTGAAAACAAAAATATATAGAGCAGGGGGGTAAAAACTAAAATGGGTACATTTTTGGTGAAAAGACGCAAAATGTCCCATTTCTTTTTTCTCGTACATTTGGGACTCAATTTAAATTCAAATACTGTTGTTCTATTATTTGAAAATGTGCACAATTCTGAGTTTTTTCTCTGCAAATAAAACCCTATCCCAAGTAAAATTCTGTTTTATCTATAGTGACCCAAATACACGGTTGTAAATTTAACTTTTTTGCAAACAGCCGGTGCATTACATACTTCCCTAATCCAATGAAACAAAATGTATATGTTTTTACTTATAACTTTTATTTTGTATATATTTTATACTCCAGGATTAAACCAACAGGCCTACCTGACGACAGTGTGCGTACAGACGATGAACTCAGGCTTGGAGTTCCACTGGTGGTAGGTGATGTAGTAGTGAGTCTGCAACCAAATCCACTGCTGTCCTTTGGTCAGGAAGCGATAGTAGCAGGATTTACCCTTTCCAAACTGCATTACTGTGGAGGAAAATAAAGAATGTAAACCAAAACCAATTTTCATCTGAGGGTGGTTTATAAAAGACGAGTGACAGAAATACTCACGCTGCTTATGACACTGAGCTATAAGCTCCAAGTCATCCACATGATAATAATCATAGCCTGAAGTGCCAAGAACCTCAAAAGGTAAATATCCTATGATTGGTGAAGCCCTTGAAGATCCAAAAAAAGAAGATAAAATAGGTGTGAGAAAGAAAAAAAAAAAGTATAAAAAAGAAGCTATAATGTTGATTATTGATAGGAGAAGACATCATACATATATTTTTACCTGTGATCTAAAAACAGAAACTTCCATTCAAGGCTGTGTCTGGATGTGAATTCATCAGAAGGATCTTCCACATTACATAAATCCTGAACAGAAAATACAGAGAATGTTACTTATGGGCTTTTATAGCAAAGAAAGCAGTTACCAATCCTATAATATGTTATTTTTGTCTAAGTACTCGTTAGAGCATTTGAATCTACTAAATTCAGCTTATCTTTTACATGTCATCGTATTTGTATTATTTCATCAACGCCTTAAAGCTGTAACCTTTAACATTTAAGAATTTGGTGAACGCATGTGACAACTTAAAGTACTCTGTGGGAGGAATTGTGAAAAATATACTAGGTTTGGAGTTAAAAATAACTGCAAATTAAAGGGAGTATGTGTCTTGTGTCTGAGGGAAAAAATATTCCATGTGTCATATGGTCCAGACTTGACTGTAACAGTCCTTCCATCTGGCAAATCTGTGTCTGTGTCTCGCTCGTGAATTGTTAGCGCCGGTGTTATCCCGTGTGCTATGTATGCCCACTGCACCTCACGGGAGCGTGCCACAGCGTAAAGCATAAACCCCCAGACATTTCAATGATTTGTACAGCAAAGTTAGGTCTGGAAACGATATCATTTCCTTTTTGGCGGGCATCCATAACACGGCATAACACCGGAGCCCTGCTGCGGGGAAACTTTGGGGCTGTTCTGAGTTTGTTCTAATCCGTCAAAATGACGGACTGCTTTCAGATTTTTCCGTCATTGTTAAAAAAATTCCGTCATAGACGGAATATATTCGGTTAACGCGACCTCTGGGATAGAGTCTCAATGTTTTAGTCTTTAGCTTTATCTTACTTTTCTTTTAAGTTTGATCTGAGTTGATCTGAACATTAAAGACCTCAGAAAGGTTCAGGGCTTCAATTTACTTCAATGACTGTCCAGATGTCCTCTTAGAGAGCACATTTGGGAGGATTCATCTGTAATCTAATGATGTAATCAGTTGAAAAAGGACACAATGTGCAAAGAGAAGTCTCCAGAGTGCTCGTAACAATGGAGTTTGCATGTAACAAAATGTGTGCTCCCACTCATGCCATTAGACCACAGACCATTTTGATTATCATCATCACCAGCACCACCTGTTTTATTCATCTGAAAGAATTGATGCCAAAAATGCAACATATGCGGGGAAAAGAAAAGCACAGGAATTTGGATCTGGTCTTACCTTTAGAAATTGCGGAGTGACTAATCGTACTGTAGCGATGAGGCAGACCTGCTCTTCCAGAGACGTCTGCAGGCTTCTTGGTAACGTCAAATCCAGCCCGTTACAAGAAGACGTAGGCACTGCATGACAAGGACGAGAAGCATGGGTTGGTCCATTTTACTTTTTAAAATATATCGATTCTCTCCATTTCAGTCAATTATGAGTATTTACATAAAACGACATTAATGTTAAAGAACTGGAATACATTGAAACAGGAAGAAAATAAAAGGCCTTACCATTATTATGGAATTTGAAATCTCCAACAAACTTGACGTACTCGTACTCAACCGGCTCATTCGGGTCAATGTTTTCTCTGGCTAGATGGCAGCAAAATTCAATATGTTCCTCACCTGAAAAACAGCACGTTTTATTTTCATTAAAACAGCTTTTTTTTTACGTTATAATCAATTATTTCACTTAAACCTTGTGCCTCTCTTTAAAAGAAATTGCTCTGATGTCCTTAGAGGACAAACATACCTGCATAACAAATTTTTAAAATTAGATAATACCCCTTCTCCTGAGTTAAATGGGTTAACCAACATCAGTTCTGATCAAAACTCAAAAAATATTCATACATTCTCCAGAATTTGAACCCTTAAATGTTCAGTTTGTTCACATGTGCCATTGTTGTAGTGATTTTTTTTGTGAACTTCATGCTAGTGGGAATTTTTATTTTCACTTGGAAAATTTAAAGTATTTGACCCAAAGGACAAAAAATCCAAAATCAATCTGGGGGAACATTGTCAAAAGTCAAATATTGAAACCAGATCTGAAACACCATCTTTGTGGTGGTGGGATCAATATATTTTTTAATGGGACATGTTTGCCCTTAATAGTCTGAGTGTTCTTTTTTAATTTAATGAAGCAGCTGAGTTTTAACCTACATAAAACGTCCAACCTTGTCAAAACGAACAAGTTTCTAAATGTGGCAAAGACGTCACAATGGCTCCAGACATGGTCTGGGACTGTTCGCTATTTAGACTTCTAAGTATCGGGAGAGACATGAGCTTCTCGCAAGTTTCTTTTCCTGGGACAAGTCCAACAGTAACGCGGGATTAAGGTCAGTGTCTTGAGCTCCAGATACTACATTCCTTTAGATTACTGTGTGAACATAACAGTGATTTAAAGTCTTAACTATGATACTAAGCTAGCCCCTATAATTAGCAAAAAAGGCTAATCATATATCAGCAATCCAATAAACGTCAGACCTAAATTCAGCAACCTGCTCTAAATATAAAGACCTTAACCGGGAAAAGAGTGTTATGTACACAGTGTTGCTCTAACATACTGAACCTGTGAACTCCTGATGTGGGACGCTACCTGGTGATGGAAACAATCAGGAGCCAGACGACAGGTACTCACTTTCAAGAAATTCAGCAGCAATGGGGTCAGTCACCAGCATGTGGGATGATAGCAGCTTATACACCTCCCCGTGTTCCCGCTCCGGGAGGAAATTCAAGATATTTTGATCCACCATATCGGACTGGTGAAAAAGGAGAGGTGCATGACGGTCAGTCTTTAAAGCCTTTACGCAACAATGCAGCACAACAGGTCACATGATTCTCACAAAGGAGGATAACGCCATTTCTACGCCTGTGGCAGACTTAAACCAGCACATGCAGTAATTGATCAAATACATTTTCTCTCATTAACACGATAAAGGTTAACAGCCCTGAAAGAAAGCGCTCAAACTCTCTTTTTTTGTTTTTTGGGAACAAAAAATACAAAAGGATTAGAGCAGAAAACAAATGAGTTTTAGCAATAGAGTAAAAGTAGTTTCGGCTACTTCACTTACCGGTAAATGGCCAATGAGTGAAGACACACTGTCAGATACGTATATGATGTTGCCGTCTGTAGTTAACGCTATTAGGAAACCATCGAGGGCCTGTAAGGAGGAGAAAGGAATGTGTGAAGGCGTAAATGAGAATGCTTACCATTCCACATCTCATCATCTGTAATAGTTATATGCATTACTAATTATTTAGTGTGCCAATGTAGCTTTAAAGTTAGGGAGAGTGTTTCCTGCTTTATTTATAACACAAATCAATGTTGGAGCTAAAGTGACTCAGGCTGTTCCTCCTGGGCCTTACCTCCAACATCAGCTGAGTGAACTCCTCATTGCTGAGGAACGAAGGCTTCCAGTCCTGCCTCACATCGCAGGTTTCGTTCTGTGCAGTGATGTCTGAAAAAGAAAAGGATTAAGTGAGAATAATTACGTAATAATACATGTATAAAAGTTTGAAAGTAAAAACCATCCTCATACAGTCCTTGAACATTTCCCAAATTAAGCCTGGATGCTGTATAGACCATGCGATACCTTCATACCTTTCTGTTTCTGCAGGAAGTCAATAGTCCTCTGCAGTATGGTGGACTTGTCCATCTTGCGCGGATGGCCTTGGCCCTGCAGCATGGTGCATAGCTCCTTGATGAGCACATTGAATTGGTCTCTTCTTTTCTTCTCCGATTTGTTACGAGACGCCCTGCGGAAGTCCACCCGAGAGAACACAGATCAGTGAAATCTCAAGGCAAGCCAATGAAGAACCTGTTCTTCAACATTTAAATCCTTGTCAGATTGTTCAGCGCTTTACCAAATAAAAGCTAGCCAAGAGTGCAAGGACACACTTGGTTGCAGATGGATGGAATAATAAAAACTGTTTAAAATAGATGATCAACCAGTGACAAGAGTGGTATAATACAGAACACATTATTTAACTGAACAGCCTATTTTTTTATTTATATCCTTCCTAATGTGCTTCCATCAGCTATGGCCCTAAACGTGGTCACAGCCACACTTAATTTTAGAGCAGTATTAAAAGTGTTTAGCAAAGTAGTGTGAAAGCGTTACATGGCGAACAGCAGAAAGACGATGTTAGAAAGCTGAAGGATATTTTTTTTTTGTTGAGAATATTGGATTTACATTTACATTAGGAACAAAAGGTGGTCAAAAACACAACTCCAAAGGAATACTCCTTTTGCTTCCCGTCCGTTAGATATGTAGCGGAAACAATTCAAAAGTGGTGTGTCAGTCAGCTTGTGTTGGATTCCCTCTGTACCAAGAAGTTATTAATTCAGCTTTTACAAGAAAAAGGTTGTGATTTGAGATCGACTAATCTGAGATGGTACATTCATACGTATCATTTAGTGAATTCAAGGTTAATGTAATAAGAAATGTAATTCCAGGAATTCCAAATTAGTCGGAAGAAGGTATCTTGAGGGAAGCGGGACATATTCATTTGTAAAGATTCAACAAAGCTTCCCCAACATGACAGTCAGCAATCATAGAAAATATATATTTTTAATACAAATCTAAAAGAAAGAAGTGATACAGCGGATAACTTTATATCTGGTGCTCTTACATTGAGAATTATTGAATGTCTAGAAATGCGTGAAGGAGGAGCAAGAGGTGACAAAGAAGTAATTACCACTCATGAGCGCAGTTTTACCTGAATCTATTTAGGAAATACTTGAATTTCCATGGATTTCATTCTTAACCATGACATGAGATTAGGCTTTAAGATTTTTTTAAAAGGATGACTTTCACAAAAGATGCAAGTTTTCCAGGCAGACAGAGAAACTAAAAGTGAATTTAGTAATAATCATTAATACAACATCCTGTATGTTACTCAGATATTACCGACTTCCTTTATGAAATAAATGAAAAATTAAATACCTTTTTGCCTTGTCTTTCTCATCTTCATCCATTAAATCGTCCACACAGCTGTTGGTGCTGGAAAACACAGGGGGACAAGACAAATGTCAAATATTTGATGATTTAAAAGGGCCATCAGATAATAGCATTTACATTTTGTCATGATACATTTTTCACCCTTTCACAATAGACCTTTAAAGCATTTACTTGTCCTAGTGTTTTCGGTGCTAGGACACTGAAACCGAAGCAGCTCAATGGAATTCTTCAATCACTTGGTTCATGTGCTGTATCTTCTGTTATTTTTCATAATGTGTCTGCTAGTCAGATAAATTAAGGATATAAACAGAGACACACTGTAATCCCACTGACTAAATATAGTGCCACGATTCTGTTCAAATAACCCGGTAACCCAGATGAGCTGCCTTGTTTGTCTTCTGTGTTATTTAACGGGTCATAAATGCAAACTTCCTATTTTTGGTTCATGCACACTCAGGCTCACACTGTTTGATCATAGCAGGAAATATGGCAGCAAGTTCAACATGTGGAATCACATTTGATGTATGCAACCTCCTGCTGTGTCACAGAGCAGAGGGTTTACCAGCAGCCAGTCTTATTGTTTTCACACATTACTGCTAGTAGGTGTTTACTATCTGTGGCCGGGGCAGCACGGGCGGACTTTCATAATCTGTCACAAGTTCATCAATGGTAATAGACATAATCATAAAGTCATAAAGCCTATACAAATAAGACTTTAACCTGAATTATAGGGCCAGTTGTGAGTTACTCTGTGCATGTTACTACAGCATATTACAGATTACAACTCTAAGGAGTGCCACCAAACTTCTGCTCTTAGTTAGGTCCAGAGAGTTTCCATTTCTAAAGATTCAGGTTTGAGTTTAAGGCCTGCCTCAAACTCTATACTTTATGTATTTATAGACCACATAAGATGTCTGTTTCTTATTTATAAATTGCAATACCTACATGGTAATATTGTCTAGATATATGCAGTTACTCTGTTCCTCAGGATTCCCCGCTTTTTTCCCCTTTCTATAAAGGGAGTTAATGTTATCCAAATTGAGGGTTTAAGGATTGAGGCTGTTGTATGCTGTTCAGATTGTAAAAACCCCTTGAAGCTACTTTAGGATTTAGATTTATTTTGCGCTTTTTAATTTAAAATATATTTTCCTACATGAGTAATGAGGTACCATCATTTGAAAATACACATGACAAATGGTAAAACCACATTTTGTTCCATGTGCACAGTGAGCTATTGGTGTGTCCAGAGCATTCAAAAAGCCACGCTCATACATGAGGGGCATAAGGCTTTTCTCAATGAAAGATGAGATGCAGTGCATAATGGAAACTGAAAGCAAGCAGAAGTCAGAAATATAATGGTTGCTGGTTTCTATGTGTGGGTGTAACTCTGCATGTATTAGATCAATATTCAAAAAGAGTAATAATAAGGATTTATTCTTATGAGGACTTTTTATACAAGACATGAGAGATGTACCTTTAAAAACAAGAAGATCATTAGAATTAGAGAATTAGTAAAAAAAAAAACATAATAAGAATAACACTTGTAATTAGCCAATGTAAATAAATACATTTCCAACTGTCGTTTAGAAATTATCACAGATCCCGCAGATGTAAGTGCTCTGATCACATCTGTGAGAAATGTTCCCTGCTTTGCAGGTGGCAACTCAACGTGTACTTTATACTCAATATATCTATATTTATATAGCTGGGGGGTTACACAATTAGCATGACACCGATTATTTCGATTGTAAGGAGCTTTCATTTACTGAATTAATTATTGGAATGTATTTTAACACTTGTTTAACATTTCCTCTTGTGTCTTGTGGTGCTGTACATTTTAAATGTAGGCTGCAAAACATTTCTCAGGATCCTTTTTAGAAATCCCTTTCACCCATACACTTGTTTACTATAATTGATCTATTCCTTAATTAATAGTGAACTCACATTGTCATCTAGCTTACCATTGAAATATGAAATAGTGAAAGAGGAGGAATTGAGATAATTTCGAGGAGAAAATTACAAAAGCTATTTTACTTTAGGTCTATAAGCCAGAGGTACTTCTAAGGATCATAGACGAAATACTTTAGGAGGCAAGAGATGTGTTCCATATAATTAAAAAGAAAACATTTGTTTTTGTGCATCAGAAAACGGCTAAAATTATAGTTTGAATAAAGCTTTCGTGGAAGGAAATAAAGGTCCCAACGTATCCCAGCTCAGGTTTTTGTCACCTTTTATATTTACCAGTGTAACAGAAGAACAATAGAGATCACCGAGTGAACTAGTTTGGATACTCACTCCCATTCCCTGTGTGTGGATGGACAGGTGCCCCCGAAGTCAGAAAGATTGTCCATGCTCACTCCTGTCCCCAGCCAGGCCCGCTCTCAGATCTCATTAGTCCCATCCGCGCTGACCTCGTCTGAGCACCCTTTTGGAAAAAACATCTCACGGACCAGTTGCCCACCGCCTTCTCAAGTCCATCAAAGAAACGCCAAATCCTGGGGAAAAGACACACAAAATGGATTACAGCATCCTGTAATGTTGGTATAAAGTGGTCATTTAGCAGAGGAGCTGTGTTATTTAACCCAAGAAAACATAAGCAGGTGACATTTGGGACATACAACCTCCAATCATCTTTTTTTTTTACTATTGTTGGGTAACCATTAATAATGCAATGTAAAGTGCACTAGCAATCTTCAACTACCTGGTTACAGTACTTCATTACTAAAGAAGTGTTTTTCACAGGAGGTGCTCCCCTGACCTAGAAAACTGTCTGAGGCAGAAAGCTCTTTTGATAACCCAGCAAAGAAAATAAAGAGTGGAACAGCCACCTCCTTCACATCCTCTGTTGTCAAGGTTAGACAACATCCATTATGGATTTAACTAAGAACGCACACTCTGGAGCCTTGGTCTACTGTAATGGAACAACAGAAGACAGTATTTAGCTACAGATATTAATACATCGCCTCTGTGTCTTTATGTGGTGAACAGAACATGCATCATCTCAGGCACCATATGTCTGAAATAGTCTTAACAACACTCCATTTTGCTCCTTTCCACTTTTAACGGTAGTGTTTTCAGTCGGAAAACACTACTTTCCCTTAGCCTCGATTAAAGTAGTATACGTTTGTTTTGTCCTGAAATGTTTTAATTGTTTATCAAGGGTATTATTGCAGTTGGTAGGTAAAGTGAATTTGGTGGTGTAACTCAGGAAATGTATCCTTAAGTATTTTCCTTAATTTCAAATACATTTGAAACCCATTGTCAGAGGAGGAATATTAACTTCAGAGTGATGTATTGTAAACCTGAATACTCTGTGCCTCTGCCCTGTGATCGACTGGCGGCCGGTCCAGGGTGTACTCAGTCTCTTGCCTGATGTCAGCAAGGATTGGCTCCAATAAACCTCAATAGGATAAGCAGGTATAGCTAATGGATTAAAGGATGTACAATCTAATTGGAAAAAAGGTACATTTCAAGTGACAAAGCAGGAGATTGCTCTGGTTAGAGCTGGCAGGTACAGGCTCCCTGCGATCCCTGTCATCCCCTCGATCTTCACCTTTCAACACTGTCACTCTAGAATAAATGCTTATCTGGCCCCAAAAAACGCAGGGCATTGCATCTCAAGTGTTCCAAGGAGCGTGACAGCCAGCTGATTTCAGAGACTTCAGTTTAATACGATTCACATCATCACATGGGCAGATGTAAACCCCATTTGCTGATAATGTCTAGGGTTAACCACAATAAACATTTTATTGCTAAAGAAAAAGTATACATATATCCCTAGATTGTCTTTAAAGGCAAAAATACATGTGTACAGTTTCATCTTTGGTTTGCATCGTCACTGAAATTCCTGCACTCATAAGGGATTTGAAAACAGTGAATAATGCCCCCTTTTATGGCCAATTACAGAATTCAGAAGAGTGAAACAGTTCAACCAAAATCATGTCACTCTGACCTAAGGCTCATTTAAAATCTAAATGCTACTTTATGCTCTAAAACCACCAGTCTCTGCTGTGCACAGTTTTGCTCAAATGTTCCCACAGGCTTACTTTCATAGAAGATAGGAATGACTTGCACAAACCAGGATAATGAAACGCACTTTTCCATGAGTCTTAATTATTGTTAACAACACGACACCTCCTCCTTCCCTCCCATCCACATAAACCCATTCAAATGGAAAGCAGCAGGGAGAAAACATTGCGCCAAAGGAGGTTGAACTGCCAAGGACTCAAGCTCTTAATTGTTAAAGACAATCTGAGCTATTATTTAATTGGGTCACTAAGATTTTTCCGAAATTGATCATGACATTCATGATCAGCATCAAAGAAAATTGCAATTGCTGAGCGAAAAACTAACACTTATTCAGACACACTTGCAATAACTGCTCTGCTCTACTCACTTACTGCCAAACTACTGATTTCAGCTTGAGAATTATCTCATATAGAACTGTAATGTATGATAAAATGTTGATAGAATAACAAAATGAAAAATATAGGCGTTTTGTATTGACAAAACGAGAAACACATTTTAATTTAAGCAACATATAACAAATAAATCCACGCTTGTAATACAATTTAGCCTACTACAAAAAAATTTGAATAGGGAAAAAAAGCTATTTTCAGTGCATCAAGAATAGCGCATGCAACGTTAACCTATACGTATTGCCTCTGCAAAGCTGTGTAAAACAAAACCTCCCATACAACCAGCATTCTTCTAAAGTAATGAGGTTAAACCTACCACACCTTGCAAGGTTAACCTCTAAAAAACACCAGTCTAATTACACTTGTGCCTTAGGCGGTACTTAAAGCCTTTAACCAGCAACCTGAATTCATGACAGTCAGTACACTGAAGTTCAAGTTCATGAGTAAACTCAGGAAGTAAGCAGGCTGTAAAAGGATGGAGACTGTTACTCTGACAAGAAATTGCTTTATTACTAAACGTACAGGAAATGCGGGGTTGGAATAACTGTGTGTTTTTCTGCAGGCAGTGTAGGTTTCCTTTCTTTTAAAGTTTAATGGAGGAAAAGCCCCTGCTGTCACCAACCGAACCTCACACCTCACCCTATAGCTTGTTGTGGGATATAATGTTGCTCCTTTGTATATTTAATTTCACTCTACTCACCAGGCAAACAGCATTAGCACAGTGCATATTTTTAAATATATTTAGAGTCTTTTTAATGCCTTGAGAAAAACGACATCTGAAAAAACCCTGTTTCCCCGCACCTTTCCACTTTCATGCAGATTCAAATTAAATGAGGTCATGCTTTCTGTCAGATCCTCCTTTAGAGATTACTAACACCTGTGTGTGGCTCTCAGTTAATGATGCAAACTTTTTGATCATACGGATTGTTTCTGAAACCATCAGTAACTTTACGATAACGATTGCTTGTAGAAGCCTTGGAACAGGTGAGAGATCTTGACAGCAGATATTTTCCTCAGAGACAGAATACCCGTTTGATCAGAGATTGAGGTGTGGTCTGTCGGCCCCGGCACGTAAGGATTGGAGCTGAAAACGATTTGCTGCCATATGTGATTTATTATAGATTTTTCCATATGGATGGCATGCACATACTTTCATCGGATGCACAGCATGTCTGTACTGAGAACTATATTCAGATCTGACTCACTGTTTTGTTACAAGGACACAGTTTCAAAATCTTGAAGCAGATAAGAGCTAAACACCCAGACTTGTTTAAGTGTTGATGAGTTTACTGGGTAATTCATTCATTCATTCACATTAGTGCAGTTTATCTTTAATCTATTGGAAGCCCAAAGAGCAAAGAGACCTACTTTGTTCACTTGTGACATACTGAGCAAGCTTGCTTCTATTATCTTGGCAGATAATTACCTCCATATTAAACTGTCAGCAGGATTACAGAAAAACTTCTGACCCGCTTTTCATAGAACTTGCTGGAAGTGTGTAGTATAGACCAAGGAAGAACATATTACATTTTGGAGCTGTTATGTATCAAGAGACAGATATACGCATTCTTTTTTACTTATGGAAATAGCTTTGGCAGAGGTCTGCGTTCTCTGAGTGCACTTTGGTTTATCATATGACCCAAATATTAGAATTTGGCTTGAACAATTTATTTGCATCTAACCTCTGACCTCTTCATATCTCTAGGCAAATTCAGCAATTATAGGCAATGTTAACAAAACCTGGAAAATAATTGTTTAATGGCAATACTGGATTTCTGCCTCCAGAAACCTTTTCTCAATATATTTCAACATAGAATCCATATTGATTGCATACTTTCTAGTTTGAAATCGACAAACCAGAAATGGTCAGTAAAGATGACACTTCAAACTTCAAGTTCGAACCATAGACTGTATATATAAAGGTTCGAACCCAACAGTCTCACCAGCTCAGATATTCGCAGCAGTTTCTCATTATTGAGATTTGAAAACCGGCACACAGGCAATGTTTGATTATTAAATTCAGTCTCATATCAATATATTACCCAGCCCTATCTGGAATAACACAATACACCCACTCATTAAGTGCTGCTGACCATTCAGAGTAGAGTTATTAGAGGGTTTATCAAGCTTATGTATCCATTGCTCACACATACACACTTAATAAATCAGGTGACAGAAAGCTTGTGAGAAAATGCTACCTGTACGCTTCAACAGTCTTCAAAAATACAATGGGTTCCAGCTCAAGAGCTCGCAGTGTGATGCTGCTGTTGTGCTGGTAGACTAGTTTTAAACTGGAGTAGTGACTGCTACTGTCTGTGTGTGTAAAGTTTACATTGGCGGACCACCTCCCCCTGCAGCTGGTTTTGAGCTGTCAGGTAAACATTAACTTGGCTGGACAATTGTTTTAGTTCAAATGGGAATGATTGATTTGACACATACGCCTGTTTGATCTTACATCGCAAATAATTTGAAATCATATTTCACTAATTTGCTTTAATTTACCCATAAATGCTTATTATTGGTAAATATTACAATACATACAGTACATAATAACATCACGATGTCCAACACCTTTGTGATCAGGAATTCATCTGGTGGTCCTTTGTCTATCAATATATTAGCATTTATTTACAAAATGCATATTTGCACATGCAAAGGGGTAAATAGACAATTCTAAATGTTTAAAACAAATATTGTAAGTTGTAAAAGCATTATTTCTGGTGGGATTTTTGTTGTTGACTGATAAGGAAACCCTTGGCTACTATAGGTTACACACCTAACCATAAAAACAGTGGGTGGGCCAATGAGTGCACTCAATGACCCTTTAACTTCCAGTATAGTAAATAAGTAATTTTGTCACACTTCATCCGTAGACCTCTGTGTAATAAAACTGTGTCAAGTGCAAATGAGAAGTCCAAAATACTGGGCTAAAATGAAAAGCAGTGGGTTAGTGAAAGAAATGTGAACTCCAGTAGATTTAAAGCTGCCAGGTTGGCTAACATCAGCCTGACCTAAACCCGTTGAGAAATTATTAAAGGATTTATTTTCCTGTGACATTTAACATTTTGCTCTCTGACGTTTGACAATCCCTTCAGTGTTTTACCATGAATGTCACCATCAGCAGAGGTACAAAAGGGGGGAAGAAATGGGTTATTTCAACCTTGTAACGAGGGCACTAGAATGACTGTGCGCTGAAAACATGTAAGCAGCATTCAAGAGCTCCTGTAACGTTGCTAATACAAGACTCCCGTAATCCACACACACAATATATTCAGCCTAAACAGTCTGACAGGAGTAAGCATGATTGAAAAAAGCTAAGCATGCTGTCGAACACATCTCCTTTAAAACGCTGGTAAACTTCGATGTTATAACAACGCGACACTGAAAGCTTACATTAAATCTCACCTACCTTGAAAACGTGTGTCCAGAAGAAAGAATGGTCGACACTTAACTTTAACCAATCTGTTCATTTTTTTTAAACTACAACATAGCAGTTTAACGTCACCACCACGAGAGCACCGAAAGCGTTACATTGCATAACAACGCCTAAGTTAATAACGTGCTGTTATTGATCGCCGGCGAGCTGTCTGTGGCTTTGACAGTCCTCATTTATCAACAAAACACACCAGCTAAATGTCCCTTTTTGTGGTGTTTGCTAGTTGCGGGCTGTGTTTGTCTATTTTCCAGGCACTGTACTCCACATCCTCCGCTGGCAGGGACTTGTAAACAGGACCGAGTGGCTGAGAGAAAGTAGGTCAGCTGGTAGCTCAATACTCGGCTAACGACGGCAGGAGCAGCAGCATAAGCAGTGTGCAGCACATGAGCACAACCGACAGAAACCTGTAGTGGGGGGGGGTGATTGTAATCTTTAGCATGTGCTTTATGCATAATAGCACCCCACTAAATGACATGTTGATGTGTAATGTGTGTGTGGGAAGTAACTTAGTACATTTACTCAAGGACTGTAGGCTACTCAACTACAATTTGGAGGTAGGCCTACTCTCACTTTACTTGAGTATTTCCATTTTGTGCTACTTTATACCTCTATTCCACTACATTTTAAAGAGAAACAATGTAAGTTTACCCCATTACATGTATCAAACAGTTTAAGCTACTTTTAACAAAATACATCTCTAAAAACTAAACTAGTGGAGCAACTCAAAAAAGAGTGAAATTATTTAAGTATTTTACAAAAAGTCAATCAGAACTTTGTTTGTCTACAACATAACTACGTGATGCAACCATATTATCTAGAAAGGTCACATATAAATATAATTATATACACATAAAGGCAATTTGCACAATGATTACTTTTACTTTGATACCACAATACCTTTGTACTTGTACCAAAGTAAGATTCTAAATGCAGGACTTCAACTTGTAATTAAGTATTTTGACAGTAATGCATTGATAATTTACTCAAGTAAAGCATCTGAATACTTCTTCCACTGTTGTGTGTGTACATATGCATTTGTGTGTGTGTGTGTGTGTGTGTGTGTGTGTGTGTGTGTGTGTGTGTGTGTGTGTGTGTGTGTGTGTGTGTGTGTGTGTGTGTGTGTGTGTGTGTGTGTGTGTGTGTGTGTAGTACGTAGTACGTAGTACGGGTTCTAGAACAATTTACATGGGGTGGCAAAGGGGGGGCAAGAGGTCATGCCAGGGTGGCTTGGGAGGGCGTACAGTACGTGGTATTTTATACTGTATAACCTTTTTATTGTTAAATCATGCCCTAACACAAGTGTTCTTAATGCACAAGAGAAACAAGGTGTTCAGATAAACAAACTCAAATATAGTATAAAACAGCAGAAAATACTCATGATACCCTAGAATTCTGGCAGCTGCCCCCCCCGTAGATCCGCCCTGTGTGCACGGTCTTAACCTATAAACCACTTGACCGTGGAAGCTTGACAAGAAGCCTTTAATCTATTAGGTTCACAATTATCAAGTAAGAACAGCCCGGTGTGAACTCGTAGAAGTAAGGGGTTGACTTTTTGAGAAATGTAAGATACATCCATTTACCTGTCAGGTACTGTCAGCCTACTGTCACTAAGTGTGTGTGGAAGAAGTATTCAGATCTTTTTTACAACCTTAAGTAAAAGTTCTGCGTTCAATCGAGTAAAGTACAAGTATTCGCATCAAAATAGGACCGCTAATAGAAGTTCTTAATATGGAGAATTTCCACTTTCAGAATCTTTTAAAGGCTAAATATTTCAGGACTATAAGTATTGATGCATTTATGTGTACATCATTGTTACAGCTTGCAGTGTACACTATACTAATATATTGTAATGTATGTGGTTTTATTTTTAGATTAATTTTAATCTGCATAACATAATTTAAACTTCAATTAGTCACAAAGAAAGTACAATATTTCCCTCTGAGAGTGGGGTGAGTATTAAGTAGCATAAAATGGAAGTAGGCGAGTCAATGTGCCTCAAAATTGAAATTAAGTAATATACTAGAGTAATTGGCATTAATTACAATAAAACACAGTTTAGAGCATCAAGGTGAATCACATGTAGATCAGGTGAGGGAAACGAGTGGCTCCTTCCTGCCAGCAAAACAAGCAGATTAGCCTGTCTGACTCTGTCTATAAACCATGTATCTCAATCTGAAGGAAAGGTACTTAATTTCAACACAAGGTTGACACTCAAAATCATAATGAAAAAAATAAGCCAAAGAGGAATTAGGTTTTTCCCCTCAAGTACATCCATACTTCCTATGTTTTTGTTTTTTCATAACTTCCTGATTGCCTTCTCCCTCAGCTGAAGTCCCAAATGTGGGTCAGTATTCTGCACGACTAAATTCAAGGGCTAATAACAGACTGACTCAAAATATGTTGCTTCTGCTAAACAATCACAAGAATGAACTTCTGAAACAACTGAGAGTGAGCATTGAAGGCAAAGTGTTTACTTTGTAATACTATTTTGAGAAGGCCATGCAACTTTAGAATCTAAACAACCATACCATTATTTGATTGCCATAGTCAATCTGTATCAGAGGTGGGAAGTAACTAAGTACATTTACTCAAGTACTGCACCCTTGTATGGTATTTTTCATTATTTAGCTCATTTTCTGTGACATTTACATTACATAGAGCAGTGGTTCCCAACCAAAGATCACATTTTTTTTTTTTACAAATAATTGTAACGCAATACATGATTGTCAGTAAAAGCCTTGTCTCTACAATAAAATAAAATCAAAAAAATTATTGATTAATTAATTTGAATAAAAATTCAAGTTAGTAGCTATTATAGGCATAAAAACTAAAGTAAAGTTTCCAAACCAGGCTTTTCTGGATAAGCGCATTTTTAAAACATAGTCATTGTCCATGCCGGTTTCAGTTGGATTATTTGTCACAGTTGCTCCGATCCAGGATCGGTCTCCCTCCATTTTGTAGATTATTTTACGGCTTTTGAATACACATAAAACACATCGGCATCACGTTTTACTTTGAGTATGTGTTTTACAAGTTTTATCCATATTGTGAACTGTTTACCTGCGTGTCTATAATTTCTTCATAACATAAGGCGGGACCAATGAATTATCCTGAGTCTACCATAAAGTCACTCATAGTGCTCCTTAAATACGCTTCATCTCCTTTAACAAAATGCTTCAGCATGCAGTCCAGTTGTGACAGTAGTTGTAACATTTTTTTGTCTTTTAAACTTTATTAGCCGCTGTTCCCCCTTGTGTGTGTGGGGGGAGGGGGCGCATCTTCCAACAGTGGTCATTTGGGGGGCCTCTTGGGGGAAAGAGGTTGGGAATCTACATAGATGGTATGGGTGACCCGGGGCAAACAAAGTGTGGCATTGGTCCAGGGCATTCTCTCTGTGTGTGTGGTGTGGTGTGTGTGTGTGTGGTGTGTGTGTGTGTGTGTGTGTGTGTGTGTGTGTGTGTGTGTGTGTGGTGTGTGTGTGTGTGTGTGTGTGTGTGGTGTGTGTGTGTGTGTGTGTGTGTGTGTGTGTGTGTGTGTGCTGGTGTGTGTGTGTGTGTGTGAGACTTTTGTGTTTTCTGGCCCCTGCCCAATTCCCCACAAAGGAGTTGCAAAATTGTGATAAATTCAAAGCACCAAACACCTGTCTGCTACTCAACAATTCCCCATTATGTTTGTGCGGGAACAATCTTTCTTTTTTTCACACCTCTATCCAAGCTGCAAATTTGGGTCAGACACAATTAAATAAAGCTCACCACTAGCTTTGGCCGTCCTTATCAGCAAACAACTGGATAAAGATGGCCAAACGAATTCTGCCTGCAACATCAGAGGGCTTGCAAATGAATTTTGGAAGAGAGAGAGAACCATTTGATGATGATGTAGAGGAAGAGGAAGAGGTTTCAGATGTGAGGATCACATTTCCTGAGAATTCTGAGTCTGAGCAGTGGACTTTGAAGAAGAGGATGAGATTGAGCATCAGCTAGTTATACAAGACGAAGCCGCGGACCAGCCAGTCAGTGGGTAAAAAAACAAAGTAGGGCACTATTATGTGATCTAACAAAATGTAAAGGGCTAAAGTAAACCATGCCTGTTGAGTATTTTAACTTAACATAGTTCGATTGTGTGAATTTGAAAGACCCACAAAGGCAAGCGGGTGCCCCCCCCCTCCGCACCAAGCCCAGCAAACACTGGCTTGAGTAACAAAAATATGAACACCAATACAAGGGTTAAGTACAATTGTGAGATACCTTGTTGCTTTACTTAGGTATTTCCAATGTTACTGGCTACTTTGCAGCTTCTTTCTACTAAGCAGTTCAGGGGAAATCGTGTACTTTTTACTCGCCACATTTATTTAATACCTTTAGTTTAGCTTTAAAAGATTTGGATTAATTTGTGAATATAATCAACTCTTAAATAACAGACTTTACGTTACACCTGGAGTAAATTCACACTAGCCCTGGCCAGTATACAAAGTCAATTAAAACTCAGCTGCACCCTTTACCGCTGGAAAAGCACATGAATGCATCTATAATTATAAATCAAATATAATATCGTATTATTCTGAAATCGGCCAATTTGGCATAAATAGTAGCTTTTCTTTTGGTAGCTTAGGTATATTTTGGATGCTAAACTGTAGGCCGGCCCATAATGCTACTTAGCCCGAATTCATTATTTGTATTATTATTATTTTGTTTACGACACCTTTTATTTGTTTGTTGGCACTCGGGTAACTGTCACGTGGGTGTGGTTTGTCTATTTAAGCCACCTTGTTTCAGTGGGGCGGATGACAGAGGGTGAGCTTGTGCCTGTCATTTTTTTTTCTGTTGACCGTTTTTGTCCATAGTTACTATGTTATGATTTTATTTATTAAATATCCCCAAAACTATCTTGCTTCACTTGGAGCTTTCTCTTCGAAAACGCGTCACACTACAAGCTTTTGTAGGCTTTTATTCCCCCGAGTAACCTTTTCAATGCAGGGCTTTTGCTTGTTAACTTGTATGTCAATCAATTCCACCGTTAAGCTGGTTGTGCGTCTCCCACAGAGGCTGCTTAGTATGTACAATTGTAGAAGTCCTGATTGGATTAACATTTTTGTTTTGCTTGTGAGTGACTAAAGCCAGGGAAGAAGCTCATTACACTCCTTTATAGCCGTCATTCAGCTATTTAACGGATTTTTCAGTAGGTAGATGTTTTTGTTGTTTTTATGACAACTCTGAATCTGATGCCTGTGCTCTCACTGCTGAATAAAAGAGCACAAAACCCTGACAGAAGGCCTATTTCAATTTTGCTAAAGAGTTGCTAAATACGTGAGCGCACAAGGGTCTTTTTCAGCAGTTTACTGTGTGCTACTTAACAACACAGACAGGTCCTTTTCGCACTGGCTCTCTCTCCGCGAGCTAGCGGCTCTGCGAGGAATTCTGTGCACAAATATATTTTCTCAAGAGAATGCCAAAATCATGAACCAGTGCGCTTCTCCCTGAGCTGATTGGCAAAACATAACGTTGGCTAAATACTAAATACCATTGCCCTCCCATGGTGGATAGGTTAGGGTTTTTGGCATGAGGTGTGAAATTGGGATGCAGATCATGCCTTCACTATCCCAGCTTAAGCAGGGAAGTTCTCACAACTTTGGCCTAACCGTTATCTACCAGTTCTTAATAATGATTTTAAAGAAAAAGTTTTTCCCATCTGATGTTCAACGAACCTTTCTGAGGAT